AGAAAAAAAACAATAAAATGTTCAAAGTCATTAACATATATTCTCTTATGATCTTTATAATGTCTTTAAAATTTTCAGTGATCCCAATTTTATTTCTGATTTTGAATTTTTAGAAAACTTTTATCTGTCTCACACGGGTGTAAGTCTTTATGATTTCAAACAGGCAATAGTTCCTTAGATATTATTCCAAAAACATAAGTAACCATCATTCAAATTTAAAACTTTTGTTCTTCAAAGGACACTATTAAAGTGAAATGACACAAATTGAGAAAATATTTGAAAACCACATTTCTGACAAGGTACTTGTATTAGAATATATAAAGAACTCTTACAACTCAACAATAAAAGGCAAAATAAAACCCCCCACAATTTAAAAAAAGGATCTGAGACAAGACACACATGACCAAAAATCCTATAAAAAGATGCTCCATATCATTAGTCATCAGTGAAATGCACATCAAAACCACAGTGAGGAACATCCAGTTAAGCCCTTCCAGATTCCTGACTTTCAGAAACTGTGTGAAATAATAAATGTCTGTTACTTTAAGATGCGAAGTTCAAGATAATTTATTATACAGCAACAGATAATACAAGCCTATCTCATTAAGACAGGAATTTCTAATAAAATTTTACCTTTTTTTTTTTTTTTAGAATTGTGGATACATGTTCTTTTTTTTCCCTTTAATATATTTTATTGATTTTTTACAGAGAGGAAGGGAGAGGGATAGAGAGTTAGAAACATCGATGAGAGAGAAACATTGATCAGCTGCCTCCTGCACACTCCCCACTGGGGATGTGCCTGCAACCAAGGTACATGCCCTTGACTGGAATCGAACCTGGGACCCTTGAGTCCGAAGGCTGACACTCTATCCACTGAGCCAAACCGGTTAGGACAAATTTTACCTTTTATATTTAATAATTACAAAGTGTTCGGGTGTATTTTTGTTGCTTATACTGTTAATAATTACAATGATGTCAATCCAAAAAAAAATTTTAGCATTCAGAATCTTATGATCATGGGATATTTTTTAAAAGTCAATTATATTTATGTTACATATTTTTGTTACAAAGAAGTATAAATTGATGTCTTTTTTTCCACATACTGAAATAAACATTTTAATTATAGCATTCTATAAATTATACTTGACAGTACTTGGTTATTTCAAAAGGTTATATACTAGTATAAACCCCAACAGAATTGCTTTTGAAATTCATGAATTTCAGCCCTAGAAATATACACATTCTCCCCATGGATTTTATATCAGTGATTTTTGTTGATGCTACTGTATTATAACGATCAATACATCTTTCAAGCACAAAATTCTAATAGGATAGAACTTAGGGGGCAAGTATTGAAATGGTAGTATATGTTCATGGAGCAAAAGTGAATCTCAAGCCCTGACCAGTTTGGCTCAGTGGATAGAGCGTCGGCCTGCGGACTGAAGGGTCCCAGGTTCGATTCCGGTCAAGGGCATGTACCTTGGTTGCGGGCACATCCCCAGTGGGAGGTGTGCAGGAGGCAGCTGATCGATGTTTCTCTCTCATCGATGTTTCCAACTCTCTATCCCTCTCCCTTCCTCTCTGTAAAAAAATCAATAAAATATATTTTAAAAAAAAAAGTGAATCTCAAATTTCTTAAGGTTAATGAAAAGTTGTCATGTATTTTTTAAATGGATAGTATCAAATCACTGTTTTTGAAGCCATTGGATACATTGAAAAGAGCAATGAAACAGTTTTATTTAAAAGGATTAATATTTACAATATATTAGAAATTATATCCCTGGCAACTAATTATTATGAAAAAATTTAGATGCCAATTTAAAAGTGCATAAGAGATACAGATTTCTTAAATATTCATTAGGGAAGGTATGTTTTATATTGCTTGGAATTTATGGTGATTCTTAAATATTAAGCTTGATTTATTTCATCAATTTTGGGAAATTCTTAGCTATTTTCTCTCCTAACATTGCTTCATTCTCTTTCTCCTCTCCTAGCTAAAATTACATGTTTATAAATTGTATTCTTCATATCCCATATGTGTTGTGTTTTTTTAATATATTTTATTGAATTTTTACAGAGAGGAAGAGAGAGGGATAGAGAGTTAGAAACATCGATGAGAGAGAAACATCGATCAGCTGCCTCCTGCACACTCCCTACTGGGGATATGCCCACAACGAAGGTACATGCCCTTGACCGGAATCCAACCTGGGACCCTTGAGTCCGCAGGCCGACGCTCTATCCACTGAGCCAAACCGGTTAGGGCCCATATGTGTTTTTTTAATGCTCTTTTCTGTGTTTTTTTCAGCCTTTTGATTCTGTGTTTCAACCTGAATATTTTTCTGCTCTACCTCCTGGTTCACTAATTCTCTTTTCAGCTATGTCTAATCCATTATTAAAATTTATCCATTGAATTCTTAATATTAGCTACTGTAAATTTTAGTTCTCAAATTTTCAAGCTGCTGAAATCCTCATTTGCTTTTAATTGAACTCATTAATCATAGCGATTTTAAGGTCTAGGCCTGGTAACTCCATTATCTGAATCCCCTGGGCTTTCTACTATGTCTATCCCTGAGAATGTTTCTGAGTATGTTTTGTCTTTACATGCTTGGTTATTTTTTGCATGACATTTTTTCCTATCAGAGAGAATTTAACCTTTGCTTTTGGCAGGCAGTGCTAGGCTAAGGGCACTAGAAAGCCTGAATCACTTTAATTCAATCAAGGATCTATATCACTTAAAGTTGGGCTTTAGTCTGTTTTCACCTTTATTCCTAGTGTGCAGTAGCCTTCAGGGTTCCAACAAAAAGCCTGGTATATTTATCAGGGCTCCTCCTTGGTAGGTCAACTATTTTCTCCCCAGCCTTGTTTATTGAATTATCTACTCAGCTTCTCAGATTCTGCTTTTTATTTTATTGATTGATTGATTGATTTCAGAGAGGAAGGGAGAGGGAGAGAAAAATAGAAACATCAATGATGAGAGAGAATCATTGATTGGCTGCTTCCTGCACACCCCACACTGGGGATTGAGCCTGCAACCCAGGCATGTGCCCTTGGGCAGAATCGAACCCGGGACCCTTCATACCCAGGCGGGCGCTCCCTCCACTGAGTTAAACCCACTAGGGTTCAGATTCTGCTTTTAGAAATACCAATCACCTTGAGAGGAAAAGTGGCTCCAGATGGTAGGCTCACTGTTCTTGGCTTCCTCCTCTCCTAGAACTTGGGCCCATAATTCCTCACTGCTTTGTTCATCCTCTGATGCTTTCAGAGAGATTTTAAAAACCTTTTCCCCCAGCTCTTCTAGTTGTTTTCAGCAGAAGAGTCGGCCCTAAACAACTTTGCCCGCCATTGGTGGAATCAAAACCTCCTCTCTCCTCAACTTCAGACTTAGATTTCCAATCGCCTGTTGAATGTCTCCTGACTATCCCACAGGTCCCTGGGTTTAATATGTCCACACTGAATTCTTCCTTTCTCTCATCTCCTGCTCCATCTACTCATCTGCCTTTTTCTGTTGTGGCTATTTCTGTCCAGGGGTTTCCAAGCTGTAAATGTTATCTGTAACTCTCCTCTCTCTGCCTCCTAAATGCTATCACTTACCAAGCACTGTGTACATTACCTCCATTATTTTCCTTCCACCTGAGCCCGATGCTCCCTGCCCTAGAATATTATCCTTGTCCCCCTTCCCCCATCTCCCTCCGGAATGATGGCAGCTGTGTCTTTCCTAACTGCCCTTCCTGCATTCAGAGCCCTCTTTCACAGCCAGGAGATTCCTCCAGAGCAGTGGTTCTCAACCTTGGCTGCACATTAGAATCACCTGGGAATCTTTTTAAAATCCTCATTTCTGGGCCTCATTCTCCGGAAATTCTGTTTCTTTGTTACTAATGTTGTGGCCCCACCCCATAACAAAGAAACAGAATTTCCGGAGGATGAGGCCCAGAAATCAGGATTTTAAAAAGATTCCAAGGTGATTCTAATGTGCAGCCAAGGTTGAGAACCACTGCTCCAAAACAAGGTTCTCACCAAGTCATTGCCTGTTTCAAGTCCTGAAAAGGCTCCTGGAAGCCTCTGCAATTCAGGAATAATCCTCACCTGGGCACTCAAGCCCTCCACGATTTGACTACACCACACTTTCTTCAACTACATACTAGTAAATGCACGTACTTTACCTGATTCTTCCATTATCGAGCCAAATCACTTCCCAGAGCACAACACCACCCCCTGCCTCTCCTCCCCTCCATCTCACCTCTCACAGGTTTCCCAAGGAGAGGCACGTGACTAGTCTCTGTCATTTAGCTTCTTGGCATAAAATAGCTTTGTTACCTTTAAATAAAAACAAAAAACGCATGTATATTTTTAAAAACCAGCTTCTTGTCCCTTGCCGACTACTTCCGGAGACATCTTTGGCCTCTGTTGGTGTTCGATTCTTCCCCTCTAGGGTGGTGGTAGAGGAGTGCAGGCTGCTGCATGAGCTTCCCTCCTCTACATGAGCATGACAAACTGGAACCCCTCTATAGCGTTCCTACGGTGTAGACAAGATTAACCAGGTTATAAACATGTCCCTGCTTTAAAACACGGACGGAACTTCAAAAACAAGTCCGTCGCTGGGAAAGGTGTGTACATATAAGCGTTGTGGCTAGTGCCATTATGGAGGAGCCAGGACCACTGCCTCCCTTCCCACACAGAGGCCTCAGTTTCCTATGAACCAGGTGATCGCTACAGAATGTAACAGCTCCAGAAGGTTCTGTCTGGTATCATCGCCGTCCTGACTTCACCTCACGCCGGGTTCAGCACTAGCGTCCCCTCCGAGGTGTCGGGACGAGGCCGGTGAAGTCTCAATGGCTGCTTTAAGTCAAGCGCTACTTCCGCCTTTCTAGAGCCCACGGGGCTTGGAGCTCTCACGCCCCACTCCCCTCCCCCGAGCAACTCAAGTCACGAGTTTTCCTCGGGGGCCCGCCCCTCCTTCTGCTGATTGGGTAGCTCTTGAGCAATTGCCGTCCTCTGATTGGTTGTTACCTTTTCGGCTCGCCAACCTCGTCTAGACCAACCGGATATGGGGGCAGGATTTCCGCTTCCGCCTTCTCACTCCTCCAGCTTGTCCTCCGAGAGCAGTCGCCGCCACAGAGGCTGCTGCCGGGCGCGGTGTCGGTGGGTTTGTCGGTGTGTCTCAGCGTCGGTGTCTGTGCCGTTGAACTGCCCGCCATGGCTGAACTTGATCCGTTCGGCGCCCCCGCCGGCGCTCCCGGCGGCCCCGCTCTGGGGAACGGAGTGGCCGGCGAAGAAGACCCGGCCGCGGCCTTCTTGGCGCAGCAGGAGAGCGAGATTGCGGGCATCGAGAACGACGAGGCCTTCGCCATCCTCGACGGCGGCGCCCCTGGGCCCCAGCCGCACGGCGAGCCGCCGGGGAGTCCGGGTGAGAGTGCGGGCGCGTTTGGGGCGGGAGGACTGGTCTGGAAGCTCGGCCCTCAGTGGATACGAGAGCTCCGTGTAACTTGTTCTTTGCGGAACCGGGAGGCTGAGGAGTTGGCAGAGAGGAAACGAGACCCCGGCCCAGTCATGCAAGAAACCTAGGCTTGGGACGCTTGCGCCGACCTGTGGGTGTGTGTGAGCGCTCCTGGGCGCGGGCTGAGGAAGAAAGCAAAGCAAATAGGGTGACAGTCACGCCGACGAGCCCGAAGGAGCTCGTTCCGTTCCGGGACTGTTCATTGAGCACTTGGCTCTGCTGGGAGCCCGGCCTCGGAAGCACAGCCGCATTGGCGCAGTTTGGCCAGACTTGCAGGCCAGTCCGAGCCCAGCACGGGACCAGTTATTAGGAAAGGAGGGCAGGAAAAAAACAGTATCGTTTCAGACACACACAGACAAAAATGGCAATGATGCGCTTAAGCACGGACGGTGTACAGAATGTTGGGTTATGGGGAGGAAAAAGGAGTGAACAGGAAACTCAGGAAAGATGGTCTAGCCTTGGAGAAAGAAGCCGGCCAAAGAGGGGTGAGAGTTTTGCCATTTTTCGAACGTATGACGGTAGGACTGCAGGAACTCTGCTTGCGCTGGACATGGCTTTGTTAGGCAGGATTGCCTAAGCAGAACGAAAGATGAGAAGGAGGCGAATAGAGAGAGATGTGTGGCCTTTCCCCAGCCAAGCTTTCTGGAAAAAAAAAAAATCAAGCAAAAAGCGGTGTGCCAATTTGACCCTTTTAATTTAATGCCTTATCTGTGTGTGATGTTTCGGATTGTCATGGTGGGAGGAAAGGATGAGTGGCAGAAATCTTTTAAGTTATATAGGGAAGGAGGAAATTAGCTGGAAGTGAGACGTGGCTTTTCATTCACTTTTTTATTGATTGGTTTTAGAGAGAGAAACAAGGATTGTTGTTCCATTTATGCGTTCATTGGTTGATTCTTGTATGTGTCCTGAGCAGGGATCGGACCTGCAACCTTGGTATATCAGGAGGACGCTCTAACCAACTGAGCTACGTGGTCAGGGCTTTCATTTACTTTTTAAAAATTCTCATTAAAGGAGAATAAGGCACTCGTGGGGCAAATGGGAGTTACTTTAAGGGGCCAAGCAATTAACGTAAATGAGAGAAACATGCTGGTGTGAGATAATAAGTGTTGGAGACTGAGTCTTTGGTGCATTAGAATGGTGCTCTTCAGAAAAGCATTCAGACTCAGAAATCTCAAATTACTGTGCCAGCCAAGCAGAATCTTGGGCGGGGGGGCGTGGACGTGGGGAGACTGCTCGTTTGCAGTCTCTGGGTTTTTATACTATACCATGCTGCCTCCTATCAATCTGTCCCCCATATGTGACAATGTGTAATATACCTGAAAATGCAGTTTATAGCTAGCAGGTTAGACTGAACTGGGTTGTGGCTGGGAGATGAAGTTGGCTTTAAAGTGATACAGGTGTTCTTTTGTTCTTGCGTGGTCTTTAACATTTGCCTAAGAATCATAAAATGTACTTTTTTTTTTTTTAGGTCCTTAGTTTACCTCCCTCATTTAATAGAAGAGAAAATGAGCCCTACAGAGAACTTACTTGCTTAAGGGCAAGTTAATAGCTGAGCCGTTTCCCCACTCTTTCACGGTATCATACTCCGTTGCAGTTTCATCAGGGATGTACTGGGATAAGAGATTGTCATTTCTGAAAAGCAGTTGTGGCTGCCCTGGGTAGGACAGTGTTGGGCGAAGTAGGACCCATAGTCAGGAGACTGTCCTGATTCAAGGACGGTGTTACCTCTTGCTCACTGTTGTATCCACAGTGCCTAGCAGGGGGTCTGGACATAGATACTCACAGAAAAATGGGCAAAAATGTCCATTCTTGGTGATTGGCAGTTTGAAAAGATAAAAGGGAGAAAATAGAGTTAGACTCATGGGTCTTTGGTGCTTTAAGCTTTCAGCAAAGGGAAGGAAGGGATGATTGCTGACTTAGTTCCTAGGAAGGGCTTTCTTAGTGAACTAAGCATTTAGTGATTTAAAGCCTGATCTCTGACAGTGTAGTTGGAGTTGGTAATAGTGCAGCGGTCAGCACTTCCTTGGGGGATTAGAGAACTAGTTAGACCTTTTTTTTTCTCCCTTTTCTCTCACTCTTCCTCACCCTCTTTTTCCCTTTCTTTTCCTCTCTCCCCCTCCCTCTTTTCTCTCGCACTGTCTCTCTCAAGATTCTGTGCTGTCCTAGACTGCTTGTGTCAGTATAGCTTTTCAGGCAGCTTATATAGCCGCCAATGCCTTGACTCCGTTTTTTCTTTTGTAAAAGGTGCAAAACATACACTACATAGGGTTGCTAGGAGTACATTAGAAAGCACCTGTAAGGTGCTTACACACAGTATACTATTACTACACACAGTACCTAGCTACTATTATTTTTTGGAAGTAGGGAGAGAAGGGTGTTACAAGGCCTATGGGCTTTCAGGGAGTGTATTGAGGAAACAGATTTTAGGAGGGAGCTCTGTATCCTCCTAAAGGCAGGAGGCTCTAACACAGCAGTTCTCAACCTGTGGGTCGTGGCCCCTTTATGGGTCGAACAACCCTTTCACAGGGGTCGCCTAAGACCATCAGAAAACACATATATAATTACATATTGCTTTTTTGATTAATCACTATGCTTTAATTATGTTCAATTTGTAACAATGAAAATACATCCTGCATATCAGATATTTACATTACGATTCATAACAGTAGCAAAATTACAGTTATGAAGTAGCAACGAAAATAATTTTATGGTTGGGGGTCACCACAACATGAGGAACTGTATTAAAGGGTCACGGCATTAGGAAGGTTGAGAACCACTGCTCTAACAGATTGAGGAGCATACATGAACTCCTTCGACCTTGGGGGAAAGGCCCATGGAGGATGGGGGCAGGCAGAAACCAGAGGGATTAGGCTTAAATCCAGGATGATTCCCTCAGTTATTAGGAGAGGTGGAAAGGATGCATACATAGGTTTAAAGATGGGAGGTAACAAGCCTGGTGAAGTGGTTCCAGGGATATTGAGGAAGAACAAGTGGTCAGGAAAGAGGCAGCCTAATTCTAGAGCTGTTGAAAACCTGCATTCAGGAGGGAGGAAAATAAGAGGTGATTAAGGAGCTACTAAAGGAGTATGGCAATGAGGCACTATTTGGTATGTTTCTGTCAGGTTCTTTCTTGGAGGAGAAGGAAACGGAGGTACATGAATTTTAAAGGAAAGCTGGAGATGGAGAATAATTTTCTTGGTAGTGGTGAAGCTGATAAGTTCAAGGAAATCTCATGCATGGTATTTAGTAGTACTACCCATTTACTTTGTGCCAGGTTCTAAGTGGTAGTGTCATTCTATTTCAGATGAGAACTTATCATCATGGAATTTAAACAATGATCCTAACATAGCATTTAAGCTAATACATGGCTCCACTGTATTCAAACCCTGGTCTGCTTGACTTCAAAGGTTTGAGAGGTGGAAGGTGGGTTTGGGACAAAGAGTCTTTCATCTCTGGAATCATATTCTGACCCTTGTTTCTGTCTGGATGTCCTAGACCAGTGCTCGCCAACTGGTGTCGGCGGACTACTGGTGGTCCGTGAGGTCTGAAAGATTGGTGACTGCTGCCCTAGACAGTTTCCTTCTGGAGCATCAGGTTGCTTAGCTTAGTTGTCCTAATAAATTAAGGCGCCCTAATGTCCTTTCTGCATTTTTCTGTAGCAACAGACGGTCCTTTGACTTGGGCCAGTTGGATGTAAGTACAGTGGTAAGGTATCAGAGTTCAAAGCATTTGCCAGTGGGTTTGGAAGAGTCTTCAGACCCAAAGGACAGATAGCATGTGACCTAGGAGGTATGGGATGAGAACTGCTCTTAGTTTTGTGATGGAATAGTGATCAAAGACTTTCCTTTTGGGAATGGCCCTGGGCTGGAATATATTAACTGAATAGTTGGTGTGTTAGCTGTAATTTATTAACCAGAATGTCCATCTGGCTTGTAGGCTCTAGGATTAAAAATCATTTCTTTTCTGTCTTACACAAAAATAAATTCTGGGTGGATTAAAGAGAGGATTTTTTCCCCCCAAGTACCAGGAGAAAAGTGAATATTTATCTTGGAATAGGAAAAGCCTTTAGCATAAAAGCAGATACAGAAATCATAAAGGGAAAATTGATATTGTCTACATACAAGTTAAGTTTTAGGTGTTAAATATCATAAACCATATAAAAAGTAAATGGGGTAAACACTTGTAGTATGAGAGGAATAATTCATACAGAGAGAATACTTAGAGATAAAAATGGGCAGAACAGGCAGATCAGTAAAAAGAAAATCAAGTGTCAGATTTTTAATTACCTCATAGGAAATAAGATCAGCACAACAAAGCCACCTTAAGGTGTGGTTTTTTTGTTTGCTATCAAATTAGCAAAAATTTTAAAACATTATAAAACTGTCTCAGTGAAGGTCTGAGAAATGGGGCACATGATTGGTGTTTAGAAACCTTTAAAATTTAAAATGTATATCCTGTGGCCCAGCAATTCTACATCAATAAATTTATTACTGAGGTTCAGTTTAATATCCCCCACCCCCTCCCAAATACTTTCATTAGTTTTTTGGTGAACTTTATATTTCCAAAAGTTTATAGAGTACTTTTATTATTTATCATTATTATTATTATTTATTGATTTCAGAGAGGAAGGGAGAGGGAGAGAGAGATAGAAACATCAGTGATGAGAGAGAATCATTGATCAGCTGCCTCCTGCACACCCCACTCTGGAGATAGGCCTACAACCCAGGCATGTGCCCTGAATGGGAATTGAACCATGACCTCCTGGTTCATAGGTCGATGCTCAACCACTGAGCAAGCCATGCTGCCTGGGCTATAGAGTATTTTTAATAATTATATGGGTAGGTGGATGCACAAACAGCTTGGAGTATAAAAAGCCATGACAAAAACTATGAGAAACTGATTTTTTGTAC